AGTTTATATTCTCAGTATTTCCAAAAATAATTTTTGTTTGAAAACTGATGAATTTTACTTCGGATCTTTTTCTTTTGTAGGATGATGCAAATTTAAAACTGATGGCTGAGAGAATACGGGCCAATCAATATCAGAAAAAGATGAGCGAAGAAAGAGAGCGAACGGAAGAACGCATTAGTAGTTTGCAGAATCAAATCGAAGCTCAGCAGCTCATGATATCGAAATTGGAAGAAACAGAAAAGCTTCTGAGACAGAAAAATTCTCATTTGGAGCATCAGTTAAGGTTGGATAAACTTATCCACTTTAAGCTTACCTTATCTCAGAAATGCATCAAGTTTTCATTAATTGAGTCATAAAACTTTCGAAAAGAGAAGGTCTAAAAATATCGTGAAAAATTCACCTTTATAAGAGTTTGCAATTGGAGTTGTTTTTATTAGTTAAATGTTCCAGGATGCAAATGAATGGAAATACATTTTAGGGTTTGTTTCTGTGGAGAACTTCAACGCAAAAATTTAGGTTTAGTTTGTTTACTTTTAGGTGTTGATTCAGTTTCTGTTTTAGATTAATCGAGCAGGCAAATGACATGCATAAAAGAAAAGCAATTGAATGTTCGCAGACATCAGCTGATTACAAAGCTCAGTTGGAGAAGTGTAACAGTCAGCTTAATGATGCCCAGCAGGTTTGTTCATGTTCTCAGCTATCGTAGGAAAATATGACTTCTGTGATTTGTTCCGGAAAAAAACTAATGGGTATTCTAGGCTGTGACAACGAAAACCTCACAGCAGGAAGTAGATTCGTTTAAAATAAAACGTTTGGAGGAAGAGAAAAGTATCCTACGAAAGAAATTAGAACGGACAAAGAAGATGGAAAAAATGGAAAATTGGGATGAAGTACTAAATGAAGAAATTAGGGAGCTTAAGGTTTGATTTATTTTGATACTATATTATATTTGATGTATACGATCATTTCTACCTTTTAAGTCGTAACTGAACATAAACCTTCGAAGCTGTTTTTTAATCATTACTGTAAATATTCTCGACAAAATTACTCTTTTACAGGATATTTTGACTTGTCCATCGTGTAAAGTGCGGAGGAAAGATGCCGTACTAACGAAATGTTTCCATGTGTTCTGCATGGAATGTATGAAGACACGTTATGAGACGAGAAGACGTAAATGTCCGAAATGTAATGCTGCTTTTGGTGCCAATGATTACCGTCGGATGTATTTCACGTAGTAGGAGATTATGCTTTCCTTTTTGTTTCTCGAATTCATTTGTCCGATTAAGTGAATTTTATATTACATTTTGTGTTCCAATTACTGTGTTGGACTTTTAGCTTTGGGTTTTAGCATGGAAATTTTCTTTGTGCACTGTTTTTTTCTCTTTTTTTTATGCGTTATTCTTCTTTATTTTAAAGACTTTGGAAGTGTGAAGTGATAGAACTTTTTCAAATCTTTTCGTAATGCTTTCAGTATTTGATCGATTCACAAATTATTTCTGTTCTCTTTTCTTTCGCCTCCGTCCTTTCATCTTGAAGGACTGGAAAATTACCGATTAGTTTTTTTATCGGTCCGTTTCATTTCCTTAGGTGACACTTTCTTTTATGGTTGTTTAATAAGTTATTTCCCAATATGGCATAAAGAGATTCAGTGTTGGACATAAATCCGAAATAGCATAAAACTTAGATTCAGTCTTCAGTACAGAATTTATTGTATTTTTTGATATGCTCTATATACCAATTACCATTTGTAATTGCGACTGTTTTCTTGAAAATTTTCACTGCCACTTCGTGGCGGCCAATCTGACCGTTCGATAACTGAAATATCAATTATCGATAAAATTCCTGATTCATTTACCGGTAAAATGTGTATCTTTATTCCTTTGCTGACTCTGCGATGTATTTTGCTTTTCAAATTTTTCCTTGCTTAAATCGTTTGTCTGTAAAATAGAATTTTATTAGGACACAGTGTTTCGAAACACTTTTTTCCACATTCATAATATATTTGAATTTCGATTTGTTTATGCCGTTAATATGAAATATTTTGTGTCCTTTTTGCAGTCATGTGCATGTTACAGTTATTGAAATGGAAAGCAAGTTATATGTTATATCCTAAACTATGCATCTTGTTTAGTAGTAATTTCAAAAGGTAGGTAGACACTATTCATAATACCATATTTTAGCGATAATATTTAAAGGATTTAAGCTACTCACCGTACATCTCTTTGAAAATAATTAGCAAAATAGGACTTTATGTTCAATGATTATAATAGATGCATAATTTTGTGCACTTTATTAAATGCAACTGCATAAATAAGTAATACAAAATTGTGTAATCAGCTGGTGTTAAACAGCTCTACGTGACTTTAGTGCTGGTTAAAAACACATTAATTGATGGCTAATCTGATATCCTGCAGCAAAACGAATACTGAATGTGCAGATTAGGACTAATGGATAATTCATGCTGTAAGGATTTGTACATGCTTCATTGATTATTTAAGCCTGTTGGAATTGCTACCAGTGATCTTAATCAATCAATTACAAATAGTTATAACAAAGAAATGGTTTTCGGTATGACTCACATGGCTGCTATGTTGTGTCAAAAAGTTTCGGAAATTGTAATGGACACTTCAGGAAGAGTTTGATCATCGGATTGTTGTGGAATATATATATATATATCCAATTTACTGCCTACTAATTCACAGGCATTGATAAAAGCTTGTACGTTTTCTACAAAGTTGGTTGACCTTACTTTATTTTTTTTTTAAATTCAAAGCCTTGCTTTGATTGCAAACCTAGCAGTTCTATGGGAAGCTTTCTTACAATACCTTTATTTATTCTGATCAATTTTATTGTCAAGAAAAAAAGAGCTGCTGATTGTGTGATTTAAAAAAAAAATTCGATTTGTTAAATAATGACTAATAATAACTATAATGTCAAAATTAGAAATAATATTGATACCACATATTTTTATATTTCATTATTTTACTTGTGTGTGTAAAGTTTTTATAGATTTTTTTGTTTTAGTTTTCAAATATCAGATCTGATTAAGGTGTAATTCTGAAAAAAAAGTGTCAAATAAGTTCAAGACTAACTTGTGCATTATTAAAATTTCATTTTGCTTTATTGACACTTGAAGAAATCCTGTTCAAATTCATTTCATTGTATAAATAATAGTAAGTGATCTTACTATGAGATTTAAATAGTTTTCAATGCATTAATTAATGGATAAAACTAGTTTTAATTGTCAAAATTAAATTGCAGATAAAATTGGTTTAGGAAAGTAATGCTTTCATAGATTTATAACTTTCTTTTCTATTTTCTTAATCTCAATTATAATTTGTCACTTATCTTTTGCTAATTTTTTTGGTTAATCTTGTTTTTGCTTTAATCTTGTATTTCTACCGGTTATTTCTACAAGTATATGTTTGGTCATATCAACAATACTAATTTGCATTTGCTGCTGCTGTACGCTTTTTTTAATCTTTATTAACTGATGTTCTTTTTGATTATCTTATAATTGGACAATATTTTAAATTAGTTGAAACCTTTTTTACTAATTTTTTTGTGCGCATCTTTAGTTACTTTTACTTTTTTTTTGCTAATTTTATTTAACTTGTGTTTTTCCACAGCAATTTGCATTAAGTTTGTCGAGTATTTTTTATGCTTTTCCATATTTCATGCCTTTTTTTTTAACCTCACTTATTAAATTAATATGACTAAATTAATTGCTTGCCCTACTTTTCATTTTTTTCTATATGCAGTTCTACTTTATTTTTATTTATGTCAACCAATCTGGAGGTCAAAAATTTCAGACAATTTTTATCAAATGCTCAAAAAAAAGTTTTTTGAACAGCATTCCCAACCTATAAAAAGGCTTTGTTTATAAACTTTCATTCCTTTTAAGTCCTTAAATTTAAGGTTATTTGGTCAATATGTAAATCATTTTTCTAATTGCTTAATTAACTACCAATAAAATACTAAAATTTAATTGCTTAACGAACTACCAATAAAGTAATAAAATACCAGTTGCAAAAACAATTGTTTTACAGGAAATTTTTAGACGAGAAAAATTATGAACATCTTTATCCCTGATGTACTATGGTCATGAAAAATTACAACGAATATGTCATATAAGAAAACGCATCATTCCTTTCCTTACGAATACAGAACACCCTGCTGTGGGCGGATATTCGATCACTGACCAAACACATGAACCTCATCCTCGGTGCGAATACTGTGGCAAATTCTCCGCCAACAAAAATGGACTGCAAAAATACTGCAAAATTCTAAAAACTTAGCAGAATTTTAAACATATATGATAAAAAGATACTATAACCAATCCCTCCCTGACCACTTTCCACCGCTCGCCTCCTGTGGAAATAAACTGATTGCAGAGGGAGGGCAGCAAGCTTTGTTACGTTTTCACACGGGACGATAATGGCAGTTGGAACAGTAGCAGTCCCGTGATCGTTCTTTTGTATAGTTTTCTTTTTTCTTTGTAATTTGACTGAGATTCCTTCTATAGTTTTCTTTTTTTTCTTTGTAATTTGATTGAGATGTTTCCCCACTGTGCAGATATTTTTATGCCAGGGAAGATATACTTCTTCACTAATAGAATTATAAGTTTATTTGCTCTTCACTAATAGAATTACAAATTACAAAGTTATTTGCTGCTATAAGGAGGTTAATTTGATATATTAGGGACAGGAGTAGTGTTACTTTCCATGTTCTTAATTTTTTTCTATTTGCACACAGCTTCCTTTCTGTAAGATTAGCGACACGTCTTTCATGCTATTTAATTGAATAAATCATATGTATGCCCACATTTTCAGATTAATAATTTATATTCTCATTTTCTGAGAGCATATTTGCAAATTAACATATTCGACACTTAATAACTGCGCACGTTCAATTAAAATAATGGAAAAAGCTCGTAAATTGCTTGACAATTGCTAGTCAAGCACTGTATTCGTTATCAGACAGGGTATCTACTGCTACTTATGAATGTCTGCGTATATCTTAGTACGTATGTAATTGTGTGCGTGCATGTATGTGGTAAAGCGCGCTCATCAAGGAATGTTTCCATCGGATTGGCGCAATTGCATTCATTTGTTAATACGAGAATGACGTATGCAAAAAAACTGGATTGGTTAGTAAGTGATTTGCAATTGACAAGTTTTCGGTTGATATGAAGAGTTTCGCAAATGAATTTTAGGATTTAAGCTTATCATTAAGAATAGCTTCTACATTTTTTTGACTTTCTTTCTCGAAGATACAGGTGATATTCATGAATAATCTTCAAGGTCACGCTTGAATTAAGATAAGATGTTCACAGTTAGAATTAGAATTGTGCTTAGGTCTTCACGGTTACATAGGCCTTCACAGTCACACTTAAACTTAGGCTTAGATGTTTACGGTTACACTTAAAATTATGCTTAGGCCCTCACGACTTAAGCATAAGTTTAATTGTGACCGTGAAGATCTGTACCTAAACCTAAGCGTGACATTTTGAAATGTGCCGTCGCCAAACTAACGGTCCACGACAAACAATGTCTTCATTATAGAATGGAATGTCCCCGTAAACCATATGATACAATAAAATTCCTTATGACCATACAGTTATCTTGCAACCATCATACTCGGAATGCTTAGGTCCTCACGGTTACACTTAGGCTTAGGTTTAGATCTTTGGTCACAAATTAAGCTAAGATGTTCACGTTAGAATTAGAATTATGCTTAGGTCCTCACGGTCACACTTAGGCATAATTCTAAGCGTAACCGTGAACTCTAAGCCTAACTGTAACCGTGAGGACCTAATCATCCCGAGTATGATGGTTGCAAGATAACTGTATGGTCATTAGGGATTTTATTGTATCATATGGTTCACGGGGACATTCCATTCTATTATGATGAAGATATTGTTTGTCGTGGACCGTTAGTTTGGCAACGGCATATTTCAAAATGTCACGCTTAGGCTTAGGCACAAATCTTCAAGGTCACAATTAAACTCATGCTTAAGCCGTGAGGGCCTAAGCATAATTCTAAGTGTAACCGTGAACATCTAAGCCTAAGTTTAAGTGTGACTGTGAGGACCTATGTAACCGTGAAGATCTAAGCCTAAGCCTAAGTGTAACCGTGAGGACCTAAGCATTCCGAGTATGATGGTTGCAAGATAACTGTGTGGTCATTAGGGATTTTATTGTATCATATGGTTTACGGGGACATTCCATTCTATTATAATGAAGACATTGTTTGTCCTGGACAGTTGGTGACGCATATTTCAAAATGTTTCGTTTCCTTTTTAATACATTTTGGAAATCCTTTTTTGATAATACTAATGTGGTCGAATAAGAGATGAATTATGTCAAGGAGCTCAATATTAGGTTGCAAAAATCTGATTGGGGATTGTTTAAAGTATGGTGCGGACGAACGTTGTGATTTGGAATACATATGGCATCATCCCTGGTTGTTCGTAGGTGAGACATCTCTTCCATTGTCAATATCGGAATTGGATTTAGATCGTTATAAGTTAGGCAGCGTACTAGCAAAATTGGTGACACATGCAGAACAACATCCAGCTTAGCGTTATACCATACCAAATGCTGCTACAAGTGAATCGCATTTAATCGCTTTCATTATTTTTCGTCACAGGAACGGTCCTGCAAGTACTGGCGAAACCCGGTCAATATCTATAGGAGGCCACAATCAGTACCATTCTCCTGGATTCCGATCCTTTGTTGGTGGTTATTCCGGAAATCTATCATTGTCATCAATCTGTTCAAGTATGTTGAGCAGCTATTGAGTTTTCTGTCGTTTTACTGACATCAACGGAGAAATCTATGCCTTTTTTCTCTCCCTCACTTCCGTCTTGACACATTATGTCCTATATTTTTTCTTTCTGATTTATATTTATTGACTGTGTTCAGCTCTTATTTCTTCATTTGTTTTGTTATGCTGTATATGTTATTTCTTGATGGTCACAACTATTGTTTTGTACTAATCGTTTCATGCTTATATCAATATATTCGCTGTTTATTACGTGTTTTTTCACCAAAAAGTGAAAGTGTTATTTTTAAATTTTTAGTAGCTGGAAATCCGTGAGTAGTTACAGTTCTAGAAAAGGAGAAATAAGATGAATAATTACAGCAATTATTCGTCAGAATCTTCGGGTAAGTTAATTGTCTAAAGCTTGTTAAGTGTTAGCACTGGCGTTGATTTGAAGAAAAAAGTTTGGAGCACTATGTGATTTCGAGATGTTTTGTATATTTTTCATTTTTATACGGTTTTAATGTAGTGAGAAATAGACGAATAAAGTATGAGAAAGTTATCAGCTTGTTGAGCACATGAAATTAAATGAGATTAGAAAAAGTCGGACTATGGGCAAGGGATTTGCCCTATCTTAGTCAGGATTGGTAGATGTATTTGCGTCATATTGAAAATACTGTTTTCAATATCACGCAAACACAACTATGTTGTGCACATGGTTTGTGTGGGATTAAGTGATGTTCGGCAAGAAATTACCAAGTGAAAGAAGGTATTATCAGTGGGGACTGAACATTGTATCATCTGTCATAGGAAATGTTTAATTCAGGGATGGACGAGGTTTTAGTTCTGTTTGAATGGTACACAAATGGATTAGTTTGGGAAATAAAATGCATCGCAATACTTTTTTGAAGCGTTGCGGCTTTGTCGTTACTCTTTCCTGGACTGATAACTTATCTGATAGTTGTTGATAAACCTCAATTGACTCATTTGCATTGCGTTGTAAAATGACATTGGAACATTTGTTCAAGAAATGTTCAAGCAAGATAGTCTTTGCTTCTATTGATATAATTTTATTTCTGCATATTATGATTTAGTTTTACCGGCAATACCAGTGTTCCACCTTTGCTTTGACAGTGAACAACTTGGAAAAAGGAAAAATTAGGACGTAATGATAAACTAAATGAAAAATTTGTTCAAAATACTTTTATAAAAGAATTTCAAATTTGTCACTTTATTAGCATTGCGAAGCAATTGTTTACTAAAGTCGCAAAATTTAAAAAATTACTATTGTTATCGTTGAAAATAGTTAAAATTGACGTTAACTGAAAGTCTTCAATTATTTTTAATATATAATTTAGGAAGTAAAACTCACTTTTGTGTCGAAACAAATTCAAATCATATTAGTTATTCTATTACTTTATCAACATTTCAATTAATATTCGCTAATGTTATTGAATTGTATTAGAAGAAGAAAAACCACATCCAATCGGCAATGTCAAGCAGAATGTCAAAAATATTTCAAATAGTGACAGCATATGAGCAGATCATGCCTGATGAAAGGCAAAATTTGACAAAGAATGCCAAATAAGCTCAAAATAAATTTATTATAATAAAAGATTTTAATTTCATCTTTATTAAAATTTCATAAAATTATATTTTGATCGATTTCATTGTCACGTAAGAAGTGTTGCTGATTGCATGATTTAAAAAAAAATTTCGATGTGTTAATTAATGGCCAATAATAATTATAATGTCATAATGTTAAAAATAAATTAGAAATAATGTTGGTATCACATATTCTTATATTTCATCATTTTAAATGTATTCCTGCTCAAAGTTTTTATAGATTGTTTTTTGTTTTATTTTTCAAAGATCAAATTTGATGAGAGAATAATTCCAAAAAAAAGTGTCAAATAAGTTCAAAATCAGTTTATAAGTGTTGGAATTTGTCTCCAAATTAGCTTGTTTACAATTATTAGCTTCTTATTTAATTGACCTCTTTTGTTGTTTGTTAATTCCTTACTGACTGCAAAGTAGATTAGAACCGGTAAGATAGAAGCACTTTGTTTATCTGATCTCTTCTATGGTATTGAAGATCATTCGTCTTATTATGAGTTAATGTTTACTACATAAGGAATTATAGCTTTTATTGAGGTTAGGCATTCACTGCCTCCTTACATTTACTTCCTTAAACTTTCTAATATTGTTCAATGACTAATGTTTATAAATAATGTTTATCTCAATAAAATAAAGATTGATCAAACGTCTTTCCTCTGCAAAGCAACAACTATTCGTCTCTATGCTATATTTTCAATCAGACCGTATTTCACAACAAATACATTAAATTTCACTTTGTTCTTCAAATTGTTAATCGCGACTTCAGTAAAGTATCAAAGTACTAAAAATTTCTAAAAGATATTTGCATTTGAACTGAGAATAACTCAACAATTAATTAATAATTTTGGTAAAAAATCATCTATAACCAAATTAGTGGTTTGATCATAAATCCAACATGTTAGTATATAAAATGTAATAAAATGTAACAATGTTAAATAACGATTTGAATCTGCTCAAAAAAAAAATGCTAAAAAAAAAATAAGCAAAACTCACAATTGAGTTACTATTTGTTTTAAATTTGATTAAAAGTTAGTAAAGGGAGCGGAGATAAAATATTTATATAAATTATCATTCTTCATTTCTTCGCCATTAATAAAAAGCAAATCGAAGCTGACTGATGCTTGCACTCTTCTTTTTTACTCTTCCTGAATTATCTTTCAGTTTTGGAAGAGCGAATTATTCATGTAAAATAGTGATACACTCGCACAGATCGCAAACCGATAACTTTTGACTTAGCATTTCAGATGTTATCAGATACTAGCATTTATAAAACAATTTTGAAGTGGAATTTTATAGCATTTTATTCTTCCGTTCAGTGCTTAAATTTTTTTTTTTATTTTGTTATATTTGAAGTTTATTTTTTTTTTTTTTGATAATCATTAATCAAGTATGTCATTTAAAAAAATTTCTTTTTTTGATAATAAAAATTTTAACATACTTAATATTACCCATGCACAAACATACACATATAAAGTTTTAGAGAAATTTGATGAAATCGCAACAATGCAATCTTTGTCTCTCGTTAATACTACTTCAATTTTAATGTGTTGAAAAATTAAAGCAAAATGAAATAAAATTATGCAAAAAATAATCTCAACTGCTTAGTATAAAATATTTTTTTCACAAATGTAACAAATGAAATGAAGTTATTCAATGCAAAGGATTAAATTATTCAATGCAAAGGATTAATTGTTAATATCATATTATTATAGATCTTTGCTGCTAAAACCTGTCAATACAATATTATCATTATCAATACATCTATTTCATTATCAATGGAGGCAAATTTTCCATCTGAATAAGCATAAATACCATGAAATTCATTAGCATTATCTAGCAGAAGTGTTTGAACGGTTTTTGCCAAACTTTTTTTTTCTACAAATTTCATTTCATTAGTTTCAATAGAAAATGTCAACTTGATGTTATGAGAAAAATTTTTGAAAATTTTCGTGTAAATAAAGCATTCTTCTTAAAAACAAAATTATGCGCTAATATATTAATTATGTTAACTTTTGGATCGACCTTTGAGATGGATCGCCAACGTAAATCAGTTGTTATGTTTATTGCTTAATGCCAAATGCTCATATTACACTTATATCGTACTTATATCTCTTTTTCAATGCTATTAATTTTAAAAATAATTTACTGGGAGGAATTTCCCTTTCAACATAATTTGTTAAAAAGACAGACAATGTTATCTCTTGAAAATAATACACTAATAAATATTATTTTTTAGGATTGGCAAGTAAAATTATTCGCATCAATATGCACTTCATTCATTTTGCCTTCTTCTTCTTCTTCTTCTTCCAATTGAGTAACACTCAAACTACTGTAAGTTTATTTAAAATTATTGAAATAAAACGCTGTGTTGTAATATTTAGATAATTTTATAATTTTAATAAAGAAAACACTAATAATTTTTGTATAATTTAAGGAAGCACAAACGGTGCAAACAGAGCCATTGGATTTATCAATGACAAAAAAAAGTGAGGAACAACAACAGCATATTTTAATTGACGACGAAATTGAAAAATCACCAGAATCATTGGATTTATCAGCTTCAGAAATACAATTAAAAAAAATATACCATTATTTTGTCATAGAGGCGCTTAAAAAACGAATAGAATTATCAAAGTTACTTTCTCAAGAAAAGAAAGCTAAGGAATATGAGCTGACAATGACAAGATATGGAAAGAACTTTAAATGTAACATATGTCAGAAGGTGACGAAAAGTTTTAGTGAGCATATGATGCATCATGCCGGTGTAAAAAATATATTTGTCCTTTGTGCAACAAATCATTCAGCCATTTATGGACTATAAAGCGTCATCTGGAAAAATTTCATACTATTTAAATTTTATAAACAATTTTTTTTTCCTTTTTTACATTATAGAAAAATTTTCTCTTATATCTTGCAATTTTGAAAAATAAGCATAAAAAATTCATTTAGGGTGCAAAATTTAATTGTATTGTATGTCTGAAATCCCATCTGTTATTTCCAGTGTTATTGAATTATCTGTATTTTTTGTATTAGTCAAAATTTTATTATTTATGCATATTTTTCATTGCTGATAACACTTCAATTGTTTTTATTATCATTGTTATCAGTTATTTATAAATCATTCATTCTTTATTTTGTTTTATATGCATATTATCATTCTTTCATTTGTTAATATTTCTCATATTTCAATGTAGTAAAATTTCCATTCTCGTATCTATTTTGCATCTTTATCACTATCAATTATTATCGCTTTATCACTATTAGTGAATTTTATAACAGCAAGTAATTTGCCATGAAGAACTTTCAAGTAAGTATATATCGTAATTATTAAAAAAAATTATATTATGTCATATCAGTTTATTACCTAATTGATTATTTGCGCAAATAATATTCAAGCAAATTTTACAAAAGAGTTTTTTTTTTTAGTTCACAAAGCTCACTCAATCATTTTATTTGTCAATTCACATGCAAATAAATTTCCAATTATTATAATAAGCATTACAACTGTGCTATTTGTAAGCAATATTTCACTTCTCTTTTTGCTTTTTTTTTCTTTAACAATCCAAACTGTTTCATAAACTGGTTGAATTGAATTAATAAATTCAAACGCTTAGTCAGCATACTAATTGAGGGTCGAAATATTACGATATGCCATTAAATGAAGCAAAAATTTAGAATATAAGTTCAAAAATCTGCTTGAAAAATATATGATTAAATTTACATATATATCATCAAGAATGTTCATTTAATCTAATATGTTAGTATTAGCACTTGTTATATTTAATATTTATGTTTCGAATAAAGCTATTTGAATGAAAAAATAGCAGTTATTTTATGATTTTTAATTCGACATCTCTTGCTCATTAATTGCAATTAATTAATCGAAGAGAAATCTTATTAAGTATTAAGTACTCTCATATTTTTATTCTAAAATTTCATCTAACAATAGAAATAGTAATAGCTAAATAACAAAAAAAAATGTTTCGCTTTCGAGTTCAATGACTTTTGAATTCGAGTTTTGAATTGTGCAAAATGATCCTTCTATTCTTTTTTTTACCTTAAATGGTCTAATACTTAGGTAAAGTTATTTTCTGTTGACGTATAAGCAAATTACAATCCATCTGTTACTAGTTTTCTCCTTTTCAATTTTTTTTTTTTTTTTTGAATCAACTTATAGCTATTGCGTTTATATATTTCGAGTTTTCAAAGTATTTTCTCAATCATTATTAAGTTTTAACGTTTTAATAGTCTCATTTGTTCATTTATATTTGTTTTATTACTTCTTTTATTGTCTTTTAAATTACTATAATTATAATATTTTGAAAATTCTTTTTTGTTATTTTAAAAAATATTTTTAAAACTTAATTTTATTCAATAACTGGTCGTTTTTTTATTGCTTGACATATATTTCATGTGATTAAACTGTGATAGCAAAATTTTGCATGAACTTTCATTTTTAATGAATGGAGTAAAAAAAAAAAACTAATTTATTCATTTTTATCTTTTAAAATATAATTTCACTGATTTATAAATAAAAAAATATTGAAATGATATAAGTTAATTTAATTAATCTTCATCACTGTTACTGTCTGCATCAACACAATCACAAATGATACCACTTTCATCGATATCGGTTAGAACTTCATTAATATTATATTTTGCTGGTTGACAATCAGAAAGATTTATACGCATCAAATTAATCTGCAAGTAATCATTAAATTTCTAAAAAAAAAAAAAAAAAAAAAGAAAAAGTTTTAAGAAAAAAATTTTTCTAAATAGAAAACATTTAGAAAGATCTAGAAAATTTCAGTAAAAGTTACAATGGTAATTTTCATCGTTTTTTGAATATTTTTATCATAATAGTGCTAAATAGAATCATATTCTTCTCCATTCTTTCATTTTGCTTTTTAAATCTTAGAATAAAAATTGAAAATGTTTAAACAATATGAATAGATAAACAATAACTTGTTGTTCTGGATAAATCCATGGCTTCCAATTAGGACAATTATTTTGCTTCCAATGTTCATATTTTAGACAAGCTCTGTGTATTTTTCTGATAAACTTTGGTCCAATAACTTTAGCGAAATGATTGGTTAGCCATGTTGGTACTTTGCCTAAATAACGAAGAAAAAAAAAACACACACACATACACATATGTTGAAATTATAATCTTAAAATAATTTTATATCTCATGATAAAATAATTAATGAAAATAACTTGGGAAATTTTAAAATTAAGATAGAATAAAAAATATTATTGTATTTAAGTTTAATGACAAAAAAATTATCATTACTTTTATTTGGAATAATAGCTAAATTAATACTTTAAAAAGGTAAGTCAAGTATTTTTCAATTAAACAAACTTAAAATCCTAAAAGAAATGTTTTCCATTTCAGCAGAGAAAAAATATGCTAAAGTTTTAAGACTTTTTTTTTTTCCTTTACTCATTTTGCTAAATTTAAGCAGTAAATGGGATTTTATAAGCATTTTGTTAAAATTATAATTTTCCAAAGGCTCAAAATTGTTTTTAAATAAAAAATGATTACTACTTTATAATTAAAAAAAAAAAAATTATCACTAAATTATAACAAAATAAAAACAAATTATAGTAGATACATGTTCAAATTTTAAAACAATTTATTATTCTCATTATTATTAACTACTTCTATTGCTAACAAAAAAAAAAAAAAAAAAAATTATCATTGCTTTTATTTGAAACAAAAAGTAAAGAATATCTCAATAAGTTAAGTTGGTTAATTTTCAAAAATTTTTAAATAATAATAATAATAAAAATATCTGATTTTGCTTTAAAAATTATAAATAAACTATGTGAAGCATTTGTTTCTAACTAACAAAAGCTAAATGAGCTTTAATTGATGTATAAATTTCAAATTGTTATTATCGAAATAAAAATATTCCACTGATAGATTGAAATTATTGCAGGATGAATTAATGAATGATTAAATAGACATACCTTTTGGATCTGAATGATTGACATAGGTAACTTGGCAACCGTTTTGACCCATATCACGAATATGATATGCTGTCAAATGTACCACACCTCTGATATATCCTTTAGCAGGTGGATATTTCTGAAAATTTGTATTTCTTTTTTACATTTATTTAAAATAATAAAAACATAATTGCAATATGGAAAAAAAATATTAAAATTATTCATCAATTCTTGTTAAATTAGCCTTTATTTTAGCTTCAACCTCTGATCATTATCATCTATTCCACTTCAATTATTTCATATTTGTATTGCTAGAAATTTTTGAATTAAATTTTTATCAAAATCGAAAATCAAATGTTGTTTTTAGCTTCTATTTAAAATATACATATTTTTTTTTATTTGTAAAAAATCTGTTATAAATTATATTTTAATCATAGATTTGAATTAAAGAAAGAAAAAATTTAAGTAGCATTTATTACAGATTTATTGTTAATTTTCTTTTACAATGTTAACTACAGAAAAATAAACTATTTGAGAACTATAAAAGAATTCTAAATTATCTAAAATAATTTAAATTATAAAATCTATGGCTTATGTGAAATTGAAATATTCCTAGTTTTTCTCGAATTTTTTTGAATTAATAATAACAATGAATTTTTCACTATATTAATTATAATTACTGCTGCAAATTATTTAAGATCTTCTAACTAAACAGAAATTGTCAAATTAAAATTTATTCATTTTATTTTTTGATTAATGATGGAATTAACAAATAAGAATTTTACAAATTGCTTAATTTTGCTTGTAAAAAAATTTACTTTTAATTTTATAGAAATAAGTTAACTCTACCTTATGACATACTGAATGACTACAAATATACTTCTCCTTACCAATATCTAACCATGATCGTTGTAGGACAAAATCTCGAGCTTGTAATGGTGGCATACCTCCTACTAAAATTTAATTTATTTATCAATGATAAAATCTAAGTGAATAAAATTTGGAATTTTTTTTTTTTTAATATTAAATAATATAAAAAAGCTAAAGAGGCTTTAATGTCTCTTTAGCAAAATATTTTAAAAAAAATTTTTGAAATCAGATTTTTTTTTTTTTGTTATTTTGAAATTAATAATTCTTTGTTTTTAATAATTTAGATTAAAATCAAATCTCATAATTTAAAAAAATACACATATTTCAAGATTTTATCAACTTTTTATTAATATTAAGAAAAAAAAGGGAAAAAAAATATGAGTAATTTCAATTCAAATATTTTTTTTCCTTTCCACAAATTCTCCTCTATTTCTCTATACTTATTTTTTCATATTAAATTTTGATATAAATAAATAAAAAGAATTGAGTGTTTAAGTTTTTAATTTTTATGAAATAATTTTTGGTTTATATTATTTCTATCAAAATGAATGAATGAATGAAAAGAATTAAAAATTTTTTAATGAAAGTATGAAAAAAAAAAAAAAATTATTACCAGCATAATAACAAATATCATTATTAGGATTAATTAAGCCTATATCGATAGTTTCAATATGATATTTATCCCATTTAGGCCTGTACTGTGAATCATGTAAAACATCATAGATAGTTGAAGCTGATACATCAATTAATATTGCTTTAGCCTGAAATTATATTATCAAATAATTAAATTTAAAATGATAAATGTAAATTAATAATGTTATAATTGATATAATAATAAATTTTTGTGAAAAAAAAAAAAAGAAAATTACTCATTTCTATTCATTAAAAACAAAAAAAAGTCTTCTTTTTTTTTTTAATTAGACATAAAAATTGTTGATCAATTAAGCAAATAGATTTTTTAATACGTTCACTTATTTTTTTTCCAGGAGACAAGTCAAA